TGCGGTAACAGAATAGGGAACACAATAATAGCTAAGAGTTTAACAAACCTCATTTGCTGCTTATTAATAGTTAGTAAGGTAAATATTAAGTCAGATTAAGGGATCTACAATATGGTCATGCAGAATAAGGTATTAATATATGCTTTATAAGTACTAATAAACAGCCAACATGCATGCTAATAAAATTGCTACTTAAAATAAAGTGTTACCATTTATGTAACAACTACTCTTTTTAAAAGTATGCTAAATTAAACTTCATTCTCACAAGGTGTGGTCATCATTATATTATTCATTAATAATTATTACAATTGTGCTACATGAATAGAATCTCAAATCATGCCGGTAGTTTTGGAGAGGTGTGCTATTACTTTTCTAAGTGATCAGGACTTGCGTTATTTTCCCATGCCGGATCATCATCTACATCTACTGTACTTCATATTTTGAATTCACGTATTAAAGTGGGACAGCAGAAATCAGCATGTGTCTGTTATCTGTATTTAACCGTTCCACAAAAAACCTGATTTCCACTCTGTGTGCCCAAACTGGGACACCTGACAGTAACTGAGAGAGTTTGTTATACAATGTCTGTTTAGCAAGGTGTCAGAAAGATAATGAGTAGCACATCAGCACACTCAATGCCTTCTCGTCCCAGAGTGTCCTGAAGTGCTCTAGAGTGGGAGGGACTGGAGGACGTATGGACGTGCATGTTATGTAAGACTTCACATCAAGAGTCCTCCTTCACATAAAAACACCCTGGTGCTACCATGCTACAATAATCCTGTAACACTATAGTGCGTCGAATGATTAATGTACCATCATATTTACAAAAAATATGATTTTACTCTCATGGTATGTGTCCAAAAATGTTTTTTGTTCATGCTGGAAGTGAGATACAGCTAGAACCATGCAAATATTCCTCATATTTTGGTTTGCTGCATTAAGACTCTTATATATAAGACTATACATACATATTAGAGTGGATGAAGAGAGCAGAGGAGGAATGGTATGATGCACAGAAATGATAAACTGTGAGGAAACCAGAGAGAGAGAGGCTTATACTCTCAGTTCTATATACGCTTTTAATCGATACTAATTTCTATGTCAAAATGAAAGCCCCTAGAAGCTGCCCCGAGTCCACATATGAGAGAGGGTTCACGTGGGGTGTTTTCATATGATAAGAAATCAGATGGGATCGGATAGAGTCTTGAAATAGATCCACTCAAAAGCAGCAGGTAAATGCCACTGTTTCTCCTGCAGAGATGAGTCACAATCCAGCAAGACAACCCCACCCGAGACAGAGCAAAGATTTCTGTAAGTCAGCACGAGGAAACAAAAACAAAGCCACAGCTACAGCTCCTCAAACGGCTCCAGTTGAAAAAAAAAAAATTAGTATTTTAAGGTCCTAAAAACAGAGATTGCTCAGTCTAGAAAAATATTATGTTTATTATGCTTAAAACATTTTATGCTTATCATTAAAATACAGTGTGCCATTTCTGCAACAGAATCGCAAAAAATTAAAACTGTTTAACTAATACATATTTCATTTTTTTAATAGTAATATAATATAGATATAATTATAGTTAAAATGTTAAAAAATATATTACATTATATAATAGTACATTATACCCGTGTCTGACAGTCCAGACATTTAAAGTATACTACCATTCAAATGTTAGGTCAGTTTTCCTTTTTCAAGAAATTCAGATTTTTAATTCAGCAGGGTGTCATGCTGCTGCTACTGTGTCGGAGCGAGGAGACGGAGGGAATCCAGAAATAATTAACTTTATTTTAACACCAAGGAACACACACATAGCACAGGAACCGACGAACATTCAACAAGTTCTGTGCTACCCTCGGGGACTGGAGCCTTCTCTGGGCTAAACTCGGGGACTGGAGCCCTCAACTGGCCTAAACTCGGGGACTCTAGCCTTCTCTGAGCTAAACTCGGGGACTGGAGCCCTCTCTGGGCTAAACTCGGGGAGCATTTTTCTTTTTTTCTACTTGTTACATAGCACTTTTTGTTAGAAAATGTTTATTTACTATTTATTCAGGTTTTTTAAGGTATCTAATATTTTGATACTTAATTTCTGACTGGAGCTAAACTTGGGGACTAGAGCTCTCACTGGGCTAAACTCGGGGACTGGAGCTAAACTTGGGGACTAGAGCTCTCACTGGGCTAAACTCGGGGACTGGAGCTAAACTTGGGGACTAGAGCTCTCACTGGGCTAAACTCGGGGACTGGAGCTAAACTTGGGGACAACTCGGGGACTGGAGCTAAACTCGGGGACTGGAGCCCTCACTGGGCTAAACTCGGGGTCTGGAGCCCTCACTGGGCTAAACTTGGGGACTGGAGCCCTCACTGGGCTAAACTCGGGGACTGGAGCCCTCACTGGGCTAAACTCGGGGACTAGAGCCCTCTCTGGGCTATCATATAATCTGACACAGGGACGCATTTAATTGATTGAAAATATGAAATCAAATCTATACAAAAGATTTCTAACAGCAAATTAGCACATTAAAATGATTTCTGAAGGATCATGTGACACTGAAGACTGGAGTAATGATGCTGAAAATTCAGCTTTGCATCACAGGAATAAATTACATTTTAAAATATTTTAAAATAGAAATGATTAAAACATAATAATATTTCACATAATTTTTTATTACATTTAATGCAGCCTAAAAGACTTCTTAAAAAAAACATTAAATAATCTTACCACCCTAATTTCTGCATCTAAAAGTATATTACAAAAATAAGATCTAATTTACAAATATTTAATTCTATATTAGCAATATAATATAGATATAATTAAAATGTTAATAAATATTGCATTATATAATAGTAGCTAGAAGTTTTACCAGTGTCTGATAACCCAGACATTTCAATTACACTACAAATTTACAATTTAAAAGTTACGTCTGTTTTCTTTATTTTATTTTTAAGAAATTCATATTTTTTATTCAGCAATGGCTAATTTAATTGACAGAACAGATAAACTAAATCAATACAAAAGGTTTTATATACCAATGTTTTTTTTTTCCTCAAAAATTTTTATTATATTAAGCAGGACAAATGTTTCCATCATTGATAATAAGAAAATAAGAAATGTTTCTTGATCAGCAAATCAGCATATTAAAATGATCTCTGAAGGATCATGTGACGCTGAAGACTGTTGATGCTGAAGAATGATGCTGAAAATTTAAAATCCAGATTTGCTGCAGGAATAAATTACTTTTTAAAATATATTCAAATTGTAATAATATTTCACAATTTTTACTCTATTTACTCGATTTTTAATCAAATAAATGCAACCTTGGTGAGCATAAGAGACGTCTTTCAAAAACATCAAATAATCTTACCAACCTCAAAATCAAACGGCAGTGTAAATATAAACTAGCAATTGCAACCCAGTTTTACTTCTATAATCCATTCTTTCATACTTAACAATGCCAAAATTCACAGTAATGCGCTGCCTCCTGTAAATACATTCACCACTGTCTTCATGCATGTAAGGAATCCATGATGTACGTCACAGATGCTTATTTTCAGGTACACCATCACAGCACAGTTTTTATGAACACAGAGAGAGCATGAGGATTTAACATTCACCAGCAGGCCCCACTCCAATTGAGCTCCATTAATATTTTACTATTTTAATATTTTAGGAACTGTGATATTTTGGGAGAAAATTGAAACTGCCACGACCTCCTGGTCATGAAAATTAACAACCCACTCAATATGCCGTCTCTTCTTTCCACACACACACACACACACACACATATACAAACTCTCTGTTAACACATAAAACACTGCATGGCAGATGGACGCCCAGATAGTCAATGTCCCTGTTAATACCCTTTAAACCTTGTCTGTAAACTTGCCTTTGCTTCCGCACATATGAATCTGGAGTAGGTATCTAAGGGTGCCACATTTTACAGGCTGAATATAAAGACGAATGAGCTTATATGGTGTGCGCAGAACAAACCAAAGAATTTGGGTCACTCATTACAGAGGAAATTAATTGATGTAACGAGGCTGACATAGATGTTGAAGTGTGCCATGGAGAAATTCATTGTGCTTGTCATAACCTATTTTTTCCTTTAGGTGTTTTCAAAAGATTCTCTTAAATAACATGAAGAATGCTGCAGGAGAGTAATGGAGCTGTCTCCATCTAGCGGCCACGTCTTGAATTACAGCACAAGTGAGACGGTCACATATTAGGGCAGGCTGTGTCCTTATAGATATTGTAATCAGCTACTACACAAAACACATTAGACAAGATTTTTAGACACTGAAGGAACTTAAAAACTGAAAAAAAATTAAATAGAGATCTGAGGACATATTGTCACCCAGATACAAGAGACTTTTACTAAGACTCTTTTTCTAAATGTCTAGTGAAACGAATAATTGCAGCAGCCAGCAGTTAATTAGTAATAGTTTTCAAGAGTGGGGAAATTGAGAAGTTTTCAAATTTTGTAACAACCTGAAAACAACCTTTCATAACATCCAAACAACGAATTTTGGTTTTGGTGAAATACACCACAAATACACCATACTCAAATGCCAGCTGAATGCTTCAGAAAATGTTCAAGAAGTCAAACTCCATGGTCATGAATGTAAACAAAATGTAGGGAAAAAAACCTACTATCAACATTTCTCCGGTTTTATTGTCCTATTTAATGCTAATTTATTAGGAGAAAGACAAAAATCTTGTAAAGTGTATTTCATTTGATATATATATATATGATTAATATGTGTGTGTGTGTTTGTGTGTGTGTCTATATATATATATATATACAGTGGTGTGAAAAAGTGTTGGCCCCCTTCCTGATTTCTTATTTTTTTGCATGTTTGTCACACTTTAATGTTTCAGATCATCAAACAAATTGAAATATTAGTAAAAGATAACAAGTGAACCCAACATGCAGTTTTTAAATGAAGGTTTTTATTATTAAGGGAAAACAAAATCCAAAACTTATTTTCCAAAACAGAGTCTTACCTGTCGTTTGATGAAGCTGGAGGTGGTGTCAGACGAGGTGCTGCCATCTGAGCGTTTAAAACGACCCTTGCGCTTCGGCAACTTTCGTGATAGCTATATGGAGACAACCACATCAAAACAAACAGTCACCCGGTTACAGTATCAGACACAAGATGCCTTATAAATAAGATGCACTTTGTTGAAAAACACAGTTTTTTTTCAATTGCTTGCACACATTTTCAAAACTTTGCCTCCTTTTTTCAAAACTTTACATACAAATCCAAGAATTGCACACACAAAATGCAAAATGTCTCACATCTCTTGCAAAATGAAGCACTGCATTCAAAATATCACAAACACATCTCAAAAGCAAACCTTTGCAAACACCTTTGTCATAATATTAATTCCTGTTAGATTGTTGTGTGTTACATAGGAATTGTGTGTTGTGTTTTGCAAAAAGTGTTTTATGAAATTGAGAACTGAGTAAAGGCTGAGAATTAGTGTGGTTCTGGTGTTTGAGTGTCGGGTTTCAGAAATTGTGTGACAAGTAAAGATTTTCTGTGTAAGCAGTTAAAAAAACTGTAAGCTGGTAAACTGGGCTAGGACACTAGATGTACGTGTCTGGAGCTCCAGCAGCAGTTAGATTAATGTTCACATTATAGGAAATGGGTCTGGAGTAAGCTCTTTAAATAGTTGAAAGTAAAGTCTTGAAATATGACAGATATAAAGTTTGTAACTGTTCTAGTCAGCAGTGCTTAAATACCTTAAATATCTTGTCACACTTGTTTTTTTTTATTAAAAATACTGTTGGTCGCATCAACTGCTCAGTCTTACAAGTTCGTTTTCTTACAAGTCCTTTTTTTACAGAAAAAAGTGGTGAATCTGAAATCTTTCAATCTGAAAAGTAATACTGATACTCCTCAACTAACTGCTAGTTGGTCAGACTAGTTTTTAAGACAGTTTTAACATAATGACTGTATTTATGCAACTAGCAACTAACTTTAGTCTACTCTAGGCACATTACCTTTCTTGTTCAAAAGCAAACATTATTATTATTTTTTTTTTTACATTTTTGGTATTAATCCTGTTGGAAAATCCAACCCGATCTCACAGGAAAATTTAGCTTTTTTTAAGATGTAGCGATGTTTTATGAATTTATGAAAACATAATTTTTTAGTAAGCATTAAACCCCAAACAAAACCGCCATTGGAGCGCAAGTAGCATAGGCCTATATCATAGAAAAAACATATGAATGAGATTATACGAATTCATACAAATTAGCCACCAATTCAGCAAAATGTAAAACAAATTGCCATGAGATTTGACCAATTTTAACTAGTATCTGGTTTGTTGCTAATCCATGATGGTTTAGCTAGTGACCAGTTTGGACCAACTAATAGCCAACTTAGACCTGCTAGAAACCAGTTAGTTACCATCTTCAACAACAAACAAAACAAACAGCTACCAGCTTAATATGGTATTTCACGCAGGGCAGGTGACCATGGGACCTAAGTTGGCTACAGGTGAGACCCATGACAAGTGAGGGTTCACCATAAAGGAATTCTGAGAGACTTTAAATCCGTTTATCCGTATTCAGTAGAAACTGACAGAAAGCAAGTGTTTGAACTCATCAATGAACAGTGTGTCTACAGATGCCTGGCCTGAAGGACGAGGCCTTGGTTGCGGTGGGAAATCTCAGGGCGGAGGAAAAACAGGAATTGAGTTTCGCGGATGGTGGAGGAGCATCAAAACATCTTACCCACATCTCGCCTCCGTTCATTAAAGACAACAGCGCGTTAAAGGCGATATTACACGGGCAGATTGTGTAGCTGTAGCGCTCTGCGGATATATGAAGCGCTTCAATGCACGACTGCTCAACAACAAGTAGCAAGAAATTAACCATTTATGAGATCCTATTCAAATCCCCCAATAGTCTTACCTGAAAATAGTGCGACTGAGCAGCGCTTTCTACACCAGACAGAGGGTCTGCGGAAGATTTGGACATCTTTACTTGCACCATCTATTTGAGAGCGCAGGGAGGCGGGTGCATGCATGCATTGGTGCTTACTGGAAGAAACGGCGATACCAAATACATATGCCTCCCGAGGAAGAAAGGGGTATCACGATTGAACAGTCAAGCTTCTGTCTGAGCTGCCTGCGCAGAGATCCTAAGATACATTCCCTCGCGCGGGTTATTATAAATCGAGATAGTAATACAGGTGTACAAATGCAACGGGACTGTTTCTTGTGCATGCGCCTTTTGTAATCTCTCTCTCTCTCTCTCTCGTACAGTAGGCTACATACACATTTTTTATCCAAAAGTCGTTAGATAAACAAAAAGCAAGATCTTAACCGCTACACTGGAATACTGCTGATTTCTATATTCTAGACTTTGTGCAAATCTGAGATTTCTCAAATAAGAACATTGCAGTGGTTTACATCACAGCAACTCAGGTAATATGGTGTTTTTTTATGTAACACGCAGTAAATATCATACAACCTCACAAATAGGCTATCACTAAAATAGGTGTTCTGGATAAATAACACTGGTTTCTTTGACAGCCCTAGGCTCACAAAACTTTAGAGTGACTCTCTGCAAGTCTCAGCCAATGGCGGGAGTCAGTTTGAATGGCCTAATGGCAGACGGAAACCTGTTTGAAAACAATCATAATTTGCAAAAACCAATTATTATAAATGGACAAATGTATCCAGTGATGCAAACTTTTCAACTTTTTCCACTGTCAAATTTCATCATTTTGAATGGAAAATATTATATAATTTACATGATTAATGTAACAGAATGTGACGCAACAAGAAACATTTGGCTTTTTTCACATATTAGGCATACAAATAAAAGTGAATGTGTGCATCTTTTAATATTTGTTGATAACTGAAAAGTATTACTTCCCAACTAGAATAGAACCAAAACTAGAATTTCCATCACCTTTTATTTATGTATTTATTATTTATTTATTTATTACTTTACAAAAAATTGCCAGTTATAGTTGACACTAAAGCTTACTTTATCTTTATGAATAAGTAAACAACAATGCCCTCTTCTAGCACTTTGGAGCATATGCCTTATAGCTTATAGAAGGGCAAATGTGCTTTTCCTTGTAATACATTATTTCTTTTGATTGTAATAGTTAATTCTATTCTGACTTCACAATATTTATAATTATATCTATTAATATTCCAATCAATCACCTATAACTGTAAAATCATACATTTAGCACATGTGCTTTGTGTTACGGGGCGAACGAGACGTGAGACGTGCGGATCCATCTGCAGGCTTTTATTAGACAGAGACGTGGTCATAACAGGCATGGGTCAAACAATGGCAAACAGGTATATTGAGGGCAAGACAGCAGTAGCACGGCACGGCTTTGTTGTCAACGCCATTTTGTGAGTGAATGCAGTGTCTTGTTCCTCCGCGACACCAACAGTGAACGCTGAACCAACAGTCCACAAAACATAATCCAAAAAATTACTCAGTGACGAACAAGGACTCTCATTAATCATTCTTGACTTTAAAGGCTGGTTAAGGCCATCACAGAAAAAGTTTATCAGCATACAGTCCGGTAATTCTGTGCCATTAGCCAAAGCCAAATATTCCTCACTGTAACCCTCAAGTGATCGTGTGCCCTGCTTGAGAGCTAGTAGCAGAATCGCTGTGTTCATACCTGGCCAATGTCCTTCGGAAAAGCCGCTGGATCCTTGTTTGGCCGAGTATTAGGGCAGAGGCCCAACAGGGCAGAGCAGGTGGAGCAGAAGCCCACCAGGGCGGAGCAGAAGACCACCAGGCCGGAGCTGACAAGAGCAGAAGACCACAACGGAGCAGATGGGACAGAAGCCCACCAGGGCGGAGCAGACGGGGCAGAGCAGGCGGAGCAGAAGCCCACCAGGGCGGAGCAGAAGACCTCCATGGCGGAGCAGACAGAGCAGGAACCCACCAGGGCAGAGCAGATGGGACAGAAGCCCACCAGGGCGGAGCAAAAGACCTCCATGGCGGAGCAGACAGAGCAGGAACCCACCAGGATGGAGCAGACAGGGCCGGGACCCATGGCAGAGACTGGGGCCTAGGGAAAGCAGAGACAGACAACACAGGCAGTGCATTCATGGTCTCAGGGACCAAGGCAGGGAACAAAAGAAGTTCATCAATAGTCCCCCTGCAACACAGGCAGTGCATTCATGGTCTCAGGGACCAAGGCAGGGAGCACAAGAAGTTCATCAATGTTCTCTATGGCAGTGACAGGGTTAAAGGGACAGACACTGAGTGCATTGTTTGAAACTGGACGGGCAAACATTTCAGTAAGTGACATTAAACAGGCAGACAATTCCCAGTCAGACTCCGTTGAAACAAGACAGACAGACAATACAAGATCAGATTTGACTAGAATTTAAACCAACAGACAGTTCACAGTGGGATGCATTGAGTGACACTAGATTGGCAGACAGTTCAGTGATTGAAGCTGGACAGACAGATAATTCAGAGTCAAGCTCATTGACGGAAACTGGATAGATAGACTGTTCACTAGGGGTCTCTTTGGCAACGACAGATGTAATGGGGCAAATATAGAGTTCATTTATGGTTTCCGGGTTCATGACAGGCAGGGTTAAGAGTTCAAAGGCGGGTCTTTGGGCTGTGACAAGGCCACTAGAGCCTACAGGAAGCTTAGATAATGTTTCTGGACTATTGGGGCAAATAACAGGTTCATTTGTTGCGACTAGACGGACGGACAGTTCACAATCAGCCTCCATGGCTGGTTCAACACGAGACAAGAGTTCATAAACAGCCTCCATAGCCGTAACAGGACAGGCAGAGAATTCAAAGACGGCCTCCATAGCCGTTACAGAACTGGCAAAGGGATCACAGACAGCCTTCATAGCCATGATAGGACGACAGGCAGAGGGATCACAGACGGCCTCCCTGGCCGGAACAGAACAGGACGAGAGTTTATGAGTGGATACCACTGACACCTCTGGAGGACCGCCTCAGGAGGTTCTGTGGTGGTGTATGCAGCCCAAATACACCAAAAAGCAATCCCTATCATGGGAAGCACTGCAGACAGGGGAATCAGTTCAGGAACAGGAGGGCTAAAGTGAGTTTCGGCGTTGAAAGGTGGTGTGAGACTGATTTATATAGTGTGTGTTATTGGTAGCAGCTGTGTGTGATTGGTTTCAGATGAGCTTGTGATTAGTGCAATGGAGCATGGGAAATGTAGTCCAGGGTGATGTGTAACAGTTTGTGTAGTGCGAGAGTCAATGTAATGGAAGGGTGACCTCTGGTGGCAATCGAACGGAAGTCCATGGACAGGATTCGTGACACTTTGATTTTATATGGCATCTTTAGCTAGATTTATGTGGCCAAACTAGATGAGTAATCTCACCATGGAAGTACTTTCAAAAATTCAAAAGGAAATTTAAAATTACAGCTTGGAAGAGAACAGGAATGTGGCTCAGTGGGAGGAGTGTGATCCATAAATAACTACTTCGAAACTCTTAGGTGTGGTTTTCATCATAAACACACATACACTCACACCCTCTTAAGTGTTAAAACCTGCTGTCTCATTTATGACAGCAGATCTGAAGCACTGAGAGACAGGAAAACTGATCTCAAAACAACACAAAACTCAAACATTTACCTTACCTACATTAACCTTCAAACCTATATCCTTAATATGAAATAATAATAATAATAATAATAATACAAATAAATACTTAATAACAATACAAACAAAAAAACATAACAAAAACTTGTGAGAAAAACTAACAGTAGTCCTACTAAAAAACTTTAGTTTCAAGACCAATTCTCACTATTAACTAGTTGCTTATTATTAGCATGCATAGCATATTATAGGGCTGTGCGATATTGAAGAAAAATGCGATATGCGATAACTCATAAAATAATGCGATATTCGATATGCAATACGATGTTTAAAGTGCCACATGCTCAGATGAAACAGTTTTACTCAGCTGTTGCTGAGTCAGTTCTGTGAACTTCTATAACTATCTTGTGTCACATATATATGGTTATTTGTATGTATCAAGAGCTCCTGTAAAACCACAACAAATTCCTTGTGTTTGCGCACACTTAAGTGGCGAATAAAGCTCATTCTGATTCTGATTCTAATATAACTAGCATACATGTTTCACTTTTTGTGAGAAGAAAGCACCCCTACAACAACTTCTGAAAGTGAACGGTAGTGTTTTACTCAAGCATTACATAAAAATGTAATTTTAACATTAGTGTAATAATTTTAACATGAGTTTAGGAACCGAATAATAAAAAGGAAAAATACAACACTGCTTAGTATTTACTCTATGAATTCAATATGCACTGATTCTTATTTAAGCTACAAAAGTTATTTAGGTAAGAGCAGTAAGTGATTTTCTCTTTGTCTTTTGTTCATAGCCCCAAATATTGCAAGCCGTAGCGATATGCATATTGCGATATGTACATTTGCGATATTTCGATAATTTCGATACATTGCACAGCCCTAACATATTATCTAGCAAATTGGTTGTTTATTAGTAATTGTAAAGTACATATTAATGGCTTATTCTACATGACCTTTTAGATCCCTTTATCCAAACCCATACCTAACTTAACTACCTCACTAACTACTAATAAGCAGCAAAGGAGTTTATTGAGGCATAAATTGTAGTTAAAAGTTAGTTAATAGTGACAATTGGTCCACCAAAAAAGTGTGACCAAAATAAATCTTAACCAAATAGTTTTTATTGCCATATACAGAAAAAATATTATTTTTCTAAGTGTGTTCAAAAGAACAGTTAGTTCAGTCTTCAAACTCGATTGGCTGAGAGACATTCTGGGACTTTTCGATGCTTTGTCCGTGTTTGCGCGTTCCAGACAGACTCTGTTCATTAGTGTTGGGGATTATTCAGTGACTCTTTCTGCACGGTATATCGATACGCCCATAGGTGGCGACATGTCATTGAATCATTCATTCAATCAATTCGTTCAAAACCACAGATTCATTCAGGAACGAAGCACTTTTATGTTGCACAACTTGGACTGGCAATATTGGGTCCAAAAATAAGTTACACACCAGATTAACTTCTTGTTTATTAAACTGTTGTATATAAAATATAGCCTACATATGCTGTTATTCTGAATATTAGGAACAACAGCACTTCCTCCTTCAAACAACAGGTATTTCAACTTTCAACCTCATTTCCACATATAAAACAGTGGTTAAAAATATAA